GACAGCCTCAATGTTTTTCTACTTTTTAATATATACATATAGCAACACTTTTTTTTAGGAAGAACGCCATGTTAAGCCGAGTAATTTTCTGTTACAATATATGGATTTTATTTGCGAGTAGTATTGAACCTAAGTGATTTGACTGGACTAAAACAAAAGTAATTTGAGAAAAAATAAGTTTTATTAAGACCAAACAAAACTATGCTGCCGGCCACAAATTTAAATTATAATAGAAACAAAAAAAAAGGAAATTCAACATGATTTCTTCAGTTTAGGTTGCTACATGTTGCAAGACAAGCGCTTGTAAAAATCTGCCACTCTTTGCCATCAACATCGAGAAGAACCGCCAAGAATCCATGATATCCTGGCCCAGTATCGAAATATCTTCAGTTCTTTGCCAGTCAGTGAGGTGTATTTACATATTTCATTTCTTACTTAACCTCCATCATCTTGTCGAATGCAGACTGTTCCGTTCCACCTTTCACCATTCACACCCGTGGATACGCCTGTAAGGATGAGATATTTAAAAAAACGATGATTGATACGTACTTACTTATCGCTATTTATAAATCTTTGTGTTATTTTTAGTAGTACCTAGTTAAGGGTGGAGTATAAATTTTTTTTTTTATCTTTTTAATATTATCATTGTTTTTTATTGAGAAAACGTCATTTACGTAGTACAATTATATAAAAACAGCTTTGGTTTACCTACATAAATAAATATTAATAAGTAGTACCCCAATGAACGTTAATTTTCTACATCGACTCAATCGGAAATTGAACCTGGAACCTTAGAGATGGCGATATCTTCAAACCGGAGTGTGAGCCAATCAGTAAAAATCAATAACTTTAACAAGAACACGTTACAGTAATTGATTTTTATTTTTAAATCAAAGCCAGGATATTACCTTATAAGATTTAACTTTATTAGTCAAAAGAAATCCTGAACGCAGTAGGCAAAAACAATGACTTTCACTTTGACTTTGTTATCAAACGGCCCAATGGCACTTACCTTCCTCAGTAGCATTTCCAGTTGGCCCGGTCATTCGTTGTACCGGTCAACTGTAGATTGACTTACAGGTAAAATGTTCATGGGTTCAACGAAAAGCTATATAAAATGGCTACATGATTTCTTTGTTTATTTGTATTGAATAGGCACTAAAATTGCTGGATCGATTTGAAAAATTCATTCACCTACAGAAGAAAAAAAAACATACGCGGATGACATTGACTATAATTATCGCAGGCGTAGTCGCACGAAACAGATAGTAGGTATTATCATCTCTCGTTTATAACTCGAAAAAATCCAAACCCGAATTCGAATTCACTCAGGTGTCCGAATTCACTTCAAAAAGCAGCATCCGCTCAATCTTGAATTGGTAATAATATTTCGTGGCATAAGTGAAGTGAGTTTCGAAATGGCATAGGAATAGAATATTTGAGACACGTATATTCAATCAATTTCGTTTTGTATATTTATACAAAAATGTAACCAATAGAATTTCTTCACTAAACAACGTGAATTCGGTCACATGAGTGAATTGGAATTTGGGTCTGGATTTTTAAAGAATCGCGGGGCAGCTCAATGTCAAAGTCGTAATAAAGTTTTGTGGCATAAGTGAATAGAGTATTGAAATGATATAGGAGTAGAATATCTGAGTACACATACACAATCAATTTGTTTTCTATATATATATATATATATATATGGAAGCAATAGATTTTTTTTTATTAAATGACGTGAATTTATTAGACGGGCATATGAGTGAATTTGAATTTGGGTCAGAACTTTTACAGAATCGCAGGGCAGTGTTAAAATTTTATCCATAAGAACCCTTTTTTGCTTACTATAAGAAATTTTTTAAAAGAAAATAAACGCGCCTTCAAATTTTGGTTCACGTAATACATGCACAAAGTCAAAGTCAAAATAATCTTTATTCAAATAGACTTCTTAAAAGTACTTTTGAATCGTCCAACATTTTTTCCCTACCACTCGTTCAGGACGTCTTTTGGCTGATAAGAAGAACGAGCAAGAAACTCACCAGCTCTAATAAGAGTCACAACGGGTAATAATCGGGTCTAAAGTATTATTTAAAATTGTGTTAAACTTGTACGAGTACATCCATGTGCACTGAACATTTTCGCTATAACGATATTATTTATCGATCTAAAAATCAATTCCGTAATCAGATGTTTACCCGGTGATAACGATAGCACAATCTGAACATTCTTAAACCCACCTGATCACTTACAGATAAAGTAATTAGCTAAGAGTGGCCATACTTACATATGATGGCTAAATAGGTGTAAGCCATTTTAAGACCTACTGTTGTTTTGCTATTATGTAATCATAAATGTTGCGAATGTAAGTCACTACGAATAATAATAAGAAAAAAATCTTTTAAAGTAATAAAAAATCATAAACAGCCTTAATAAAAATCATATTCGATCAATAAGTTGATTTCGGTGTGATTCATGGTTAACTAATCCAAAATCTTCTTTTTAAAGTCGAACGGTTTTGTAAAACTTTCGTTAAGATATATCTTTTTTGTCAGTTCATCAGAGAAGATAGTCAATTGACGAATAGGTATATCGTTAACATACTTAAGACTTGTCTCAGTTGTATGTTATTGCACTTCTACTATTTATTGTGTACTTTTAACTCACAGACAAAATATTTTCATTTTTTATCATTCTTTCATTACCAATTAATGTGAAGATGACTCTTTTAAAAATAAATTTCATAGAGTCGTCGGTTCCTTTTATTTGAAATAATTTACACAGTCATATAGGATTGCGTGGCGGCCATATCAAACATTTGGAGCATGTCACATGATTGCAAGTATATATTCTACAATAAATTCTAATATTACATAACTGTAAAGTATTTTTTCTAGAAATTTTCACCACATATTGAGCTTATAATATTAATGTAAAATTTGGAAACTATTACAAGTGATTATTTCCCAAATAGCAATAAGATTCATTCATATTAATTATCGACTAATCAATTTAAAAAAAAAACGCCTAATGCCCGTTTTCACCAAAGACTAGTAATCCCATAGCGACGTTAAGTAATGTCTGAAATAATTACATGCCTTATGTATGAGGTATCTTTCGCTAGGTATTTGCGTGATATAGGTCACAAATATGTTATCGGATAAAATATGTTTATTCAGAAATAAAATAATCTGCTCAGGCGATTCGTAAAATTAGATTCGTGAAGTCTTAGTAATAGGTTTCCCGTTTTACCCTTTGGGTACGGCACCCTGACACAACTTTAACCCGGAACCTTGTAAAATATACGCGACAGAACCATTTAGTTGACTATAAATTAGTGAAATGTCATGTACGATTTCAGAAAATAATAGTAGACTTAGCCACAAGAGTCCTAAGATACATATAAATGTTTAGCTAAGGAATCGTCGAGACGCCAGCTCTCTTTATGTATCTTCAACCATCTTCACCTTCTGCTTCTTTCTTTTAGACAATATCTCCCGTTATTCTTTCTCAACTAGACTATTTGTTAGGTCATTGCTATTATCAAATATATTGTTAAAATTAGTATTTTCCATTTTAAAACATAAAACATATACTAATTATGAATGTACTCTACCTTAACGTCACGATTACACAAGTTTAAAAAGTTAAAACATTACCGGTATTTCCATAAGTCATTTCGTGCGTCAGTGAAAATGTAAAATGAGTCTTATTATGTGTAACGGAATGTTAATCACCACTTTGACTATTCTATCAGAGACCTTACCATGATATCTCTAAAGCGATCCAATTGCAATGTCTCAAGCGAAATACATAGATTATGTAAATAGATGTGGGTCAGAGTGGCGAAATAATCACACAGTTCTTGATTTTACACAGGTGTTTATTCGGGTAGAATTACCCCGTAACAAAATGAATAGAAGAATGTGCAATTTCACCGTGACACTACCTTTTTCATGTATTCGAAAAAACCCCCCGTTAGTACTTAAAGCATTGACAATCAAAAATTAGTAACTATTAAATTCTTATTAACTTGTCACTATCAACTTACGAGATTTTAATCACTGACTATAACATTTTTAATTTTTAATTAAATATTAATCACGTAAATAAATTTATGGAGCCTTATTTTAATATTTTGAATTGTTGGCGGAAGTTCCATGGACGGAGTATAATGTCCCACCGGAAGCTGTCTTTAACATATACGAGTATAAGCAGACGGAGAGTTCCCTCGTTCACACAAAAGAAATTTTAAAATATAACGCAATACCTTTCAATTTGTTATTTGAAAGGTATTCAGTCTACAACTATTTGACGTGTGATTGCGCTTGAAAAGTATTTTTGAAAGAATTTGTCGCTTATTTTAGATACAAAGAAGTTAGAAAGCTATTGAGAGTTGTCAAACGAAAGTCAACGAATGCTAACTGCAATCATTGTATGTGGGGGTCAATAAATTAATTTCTTTCTTTCTTTCTTATTAGACGGGCTTAAGTTTTTATTATATTTCTTGATCATTCAAATCATCATTCGTTTCAATACTTACTTAATACAAATAATCACTATCACAATCACTAATTTGAATGGGATTGCCATTGACTTTGAAATTAGACAATTTAGCTACATGTTTTATATTTAAGAGCGAGTGAGGTAATAAATACAAATAGTATCCCGCAAAGCGAGATATTAAGTTATTTGTAACCCTTATATGAGAATAAATCTTTATGTCATTAATCGTAACTTGATAAACTAATCGCTATATTATCAAACTCCTCAAACTACTTAAATATAACGCGTGAATTTTACGCAAAAGTTGTTTAATAAATATTACAGTATTCTATTCCTGGTATCACGACTACGTGTATGATTATTGTATCCTGTTTGACCTTATGACGTAAATTTTTGTATTTCCTCTTTAATCCTAGTGGGCGCGAAGGCGAGCCCACTATCATCATTATGACGTTAGCCAATGAAGGTAAATTTAAAATTATATTTGTTCGGCCAGTATACCGAAATACACGGAGCGGGCGATGCGCGGTGCGTGCGCCCCACAGTCTACAGATAAAATCACAGCGCGCCTATACGCGTCTCGTTACATAATTTAAAAATCGAACGCTATCTGTTCACTATTTATATTTTAATTTATCTTTGTGGTTGACTGGAGTGGCTAGTGAAGTGTATTTTTTTTTTCATTTTAATTTTATTTGGTGGTGAGTCGATTTTTTAAAATAAAAGGTTTTATTTATGATCTCATGTAAAAAATAAAAATTTTATAGTAGTACCTAATTTACTGCCAGTTTTAATAGTACTTAGTTGCTAGTTAAAAATGTTAAAGTTATCTAAATACTATTTTTTGTTTAATTAATAGGTTTTATCGATAGAAAACGATATAGTTTATATCATAAGGACCCGCATAGCACCTTAATTCTTTTACTTCGGAGTTTCCAATCTTCTGGTACATACATTTTTAAAAGTTAAGAAGTATATTTTACGGTTATTTCAATCTTCTATACTTCATTAATTAATTTAGTAAAAACTTTTTTTAGTTTAGTGTTTTTTATCTTAAATCTAGTCATTAGGTAAAATAAAAATACTCCACTTTTTATACTGTACTTTTCGATTTTAAATGTGTATGTTACACTGGTACTTAAATGTTATCATTTCACCAATAGCTCATTGATTTATTTAAATAGCGCCGTGTTTATCATCAGCTGTGTAACATTCTGGATTTCTCCAGAGGTCAGTTTATACTGCGAGACGTTTTTGATTCAACGTTTAATAAACATGATGATATGTATGTAAGTATGGATCTTACCTAAAAAGTGCTAGAAAATATACGAACGACCTTTTAAGATACAATAATCTCAAAATTCATTAAAATAATGTGCTGAGAAAAGTCAATATAGCGAAGAATAGTTTGAAGTAAAGCCATCGAAGGCTTTAGTATCATTTAATAGGTGAATTGAATTTTATTTTTGACCCACAGAAAGAAGCATATTATTTTGAACCATTGTAGCCAGTACATTAATGTACTGGCTCACGAATTTTCTCATTTATAATCCCTATAACAGGATTTAGCGCTGAACAAACATCGCAATGACTGACGCTTAGTACTCTTGCAGGTTTGATATATAAAGCAGAATGGATTATACATACCATATACACAAAACAAATCAACATTAAGTTAATAAATTCTTCACAAAGTGAACTTAAAATAGTTTTACTATTATATTTCATACGTTGAGATCTGTAATTGAAACTGTTATTAAACTTTGGCATAGTCAACAATTAAAAAGATGTATATATATAACTTTTTGTGAAAAAAAATATCCTAGCCGACACGGAAGCTGTTTGTTTTACACAATTATTGCTAATTTCGCTGACATACTTAACTCTAGCCGGGGGTTTTTAAATGCTACAATTAGTAAATTAGACGAATGATTAATAAGTGCAATAGAATGTAGTACGTGCCATTTGTCATATGCCATTCGTAACTGAATCGAACACGATAATAGTTCATTCACGATGTTCAGTTAGGTCAGTCAACTTTGTGAGTTTGTCGTGGTTCAAGTTGTATGAAAAAAAAAGTACATGAAAACCAACCGGATAAAATTAATGGATCTAGTACGTTTTCTGTAAGAGTAGCACAAATATGGTTTAAGCGTTTTTACTACGGAAATTTCGTTGTCAAAGATGCACGTCACTTCGGTCGCCCTATCGCGGATAAAATGGAAGCCATTTTTTAAAAAGTTGAGCACGATCGGCAATCAGTTGTTATAACGTAGTTAAAGAACTGGGGATTGAACACAATACAAATTTGGAGCATTTAAAAAAATAGATACACAAAAAAAGTTGAATATTTGGGTACCTAACGAGCTCACTGAAAGAAACCTAATGAACCGTGTACTCATTTGTGATTCTTTATTACGGGGTGATGAAACCGAACCATTTTTGAAGAAGCTGATAATTGGCGATGAAGAGTGGATCATGTACAATAAGAAAGTGTGAAAATGGTCGTGGTCAAAGGTCGGTCAAGCTTCACAAGCTGTGGCGAAGCCCGGGTTAACAAGGTGATGCTGTGTGTATGGAGTGATTGGAAGAGCATGATTCATTATCAACTGTTAGCGCCAGGCAGGACCATCGATTCTGAAATCTACTGCGAACAACTGATGAAATTAAAGCAAGAGATTGAGAGAAAGCGGCCAGAATTAATCAATAAAAGTGCGGTTTTTCATCATAATAACGCTCACATCTTTTGCCACTTCACAAAATATAAGAGAAAGGCTGGGCGGTGTTAATGCATACGCCGTATAGTCCTGACCTTGCACCTTCAGATTTCCACCTGTTTCTGTCTCTTCAGAATTCTTAAGGCAGTGTCAGGTTAACATCACGCAGGGACTGCCACAACCACTTATCGCGGTTTTTTTATCAGAAGCCCCAAAATTTCTATATCAATGGCATAATGTCCCTATTTACGAGATGGCATAAAGTTACCAACAAAATTACCTACATACTCTAGTTAAATGTAAATTAACTTTAATAAAAAAATGCAATGCAAATGCAAAGAAACTTTTGCTTCAACCTATTATTATATTGTTGAGATATGTGAACGGTGACTAATGAATAATTTGGAATGGCCTCATTAGATTCAAGATATTTTAATAAGTAGGAAAGGGAAAACAAACATGACTATTCGCCGACCTTAAGTAGAAACAAGGTTAGAAAAAGAAAATGCGACCTAGAACTAAGCTTCTCAACCGCTCGCGTGATCAAATTAATATAAGAGGGTACTAAAGTGAAATAATAACTGTAATTGCAATCTAACTATTACTCTATGATTGTTGTGGGACAGTTTAAGATACTGTAAGCTATTGTTGTAGCTATTATCGAGTTGGAAAGAAAGGCATTGCGTCTTTTTCGAGGAAGTAGAAAATCTTCCACAATTTTTGCTGAGACTATTTTTTTCGAAGATCTATGAATGCAATTCAGAATATTATGGTAATCTCTTATGAACGTTTTTATGTAACAGTTGAGGTACGTATGTACGTCTGGTTAAATTTCTCTAGATGATTTTAAGCTCTATCCACAAAACATTAAGGTTTAAAATCAAACGGAGATATTAATTGCCCTTAAAATCCCTTCTCAAAAAATTTACTTTGTATTTTATAGATAGATAGTGGTAGCAATACCGCACAAACTAGACTCAGTCAATAAATCACGTCGGCTATTTTTGTCGGTCATGTGATTTCTATGGTCTAAAAAAATATCGTATCACGTGACCTACAGGAATAAGGCAATTTCCACTTAATAATAAGAGATAAATTATATCTCTTCTCGTAAAAGTACGTTGGATTGTTTATCTTAAAACTGAGCCAGTAACTACTGAAATAAAAATAGGACCGTAATAATACCTCGATTCAACTGTTTTGCCCGATAGACGACAACCATTATAAATAATTCCCGGGCTATTTAATTATTTGTATAGTATCTATTTACCCCATCTCGAGACGCAGTGGTTAGTGCGCTTGGTCTGCGATACGGTTGTTAAGCAAAATTTTCAATTGCCGTTCATAGGGTGAGTGACCAAAAATGTATTATCTCGATCTCCCCCATACTTCGATGTCCACCACCCACCAATCCCTATTCTATTTGAATCGTTTCCATCCATGGGGAAAGTCTGCGCCCCAATAGTAATGATTCTGATGATTTATCACATTGCATTCTGATGTAGGGCATAATATAATCGACAATTATGAAAGATTTATTATTTTTGCTATATAAAAATACTATAATCCCACTTGACCCACCATGCACTTAATACATACCTTCTGGAACATACTTTTCCTCTATAAAAAAAGCTTTAATAGTTAAATATCAAAGTCGATGCTGTTCAATAATGATAAATTGTACAAGTGTTGTTATAATATTAAGTGTTGATAAAGATATTATTTGATCCTACATGTACCAATCTCGGTATCAAACTGACACGACCCTAGCACCGGTCGCCGAGGTCACTATCATTGAGCTATCATTGTTTGTTGTAGATAACATAATCGAAGTTGCTTTTTTGGTACATTTATAATATAATAATAAATGGTATCACTTTATCTCCCTCCTTAAAATAATACGTTTTTAAAGTTACTAGAAAGGGTTGGATTTGGTATTAAATAAGAAAGCGATACAGTATTCTTACAGATATTATTGTAGTCACATTGGTATTCAGTAATGTGAGTAGATACTACAGTCGGCGAAAAAAATGGTATACCACCTTTTTTTAAGGCAGGGAAATCCTCCTTATGCTTCAAAAAGGGGCTGTCCAGCTACTAGGACCTAGCCTAGTGTCTGGAAGCTAAAACGTGCTGGCCTGATAAAACACGCAGCGATGAATGTCACTAATGGATGGATCCGGTATCCAAGGAGCAAGGAGAGCCTTAATCCGATCCACATGTGGGACATGGGAAAAAGACTTGGATATATTATAGCCTTTTTTCCGGACGGTAGACCGTATAATGTGCCTGGGGCGTCATTCTAGCTTACCGGTCCGTAGAAGTAGGAAATGCATTAATATGCGATTCTTTCACCCTTGTCACGAACCTCTACACAAGAGATCTGGCCTTCCTACCTAGGACAGGTTGTCGCCCTTCGACGGTCGTACTGACAAACACACAGTCCGGTTAGCCAGCGCCGGGCGTCGAAAGTTCCTGAGCTCATAACAATCATAACAACAACCGCAGCGGCACCCATCCAAAGTTCTTCTACCCTACGGTTGAAATTCATTTGAAACAACAAAGTCGATTTCCCCTTGTAATAACATATAGGACATTGTCATAATTGAGCAACTAAACTTCGTTAGAAAAGTCACCCTTGGCGTTAATAGATCTTACAGAAAATGTCAAAACTGGTAGACCAATTTTTTTGTCGATTATACCTATCCAGTGCAATCGGTTGCCAAATCATCACTTATAACGTTTCGTTATCGCAGAAGTTATGAAATACGATATCTTTAATTGCGTATACATGATAAAATAATTAAGAAAGATAAAAACGATTTACATTGATATTGATTTTTAAGTAATTAATACCATTGAGCGCTCCTGCCGGCTGATTAATATTATATCAATTCGAAAAAGATTTAAAACTATTGAAGGTATTAGTTTAAGTGTGTATTTTTATTTACGTGTGGTCTGTTTTTATAGCCGTTGTTTAAAGA